ATAGAGCAAGAAAAAATAGATTCACTAGAATAATAGGCAGACTCAACAAAGCAATTCTTCTAACAGAAGATACAAGTTCTGATACTACGAATGAATCAGTGTAAACATAATTAATATATAGCATATTAAGCCATCATTTTTTCCATTTTCTCACATAAGTAATAAATACAAATTCAAACAACATTTTCAATATTGTGAAAAGGAGGACGGAGGCATGATAGAGTGCTTACACCCCCTCATGCTTGTCTACAATTAAGTCAATCGGCTGGAATGGCGTTGTGGTTTCTACGCTGCGTGCGCGACGTGTTATAAATTGCCTATGCTTAAGAAATTGTACAACGACTCATTTACATTCGCGCGACGTTCCTTGGTGACGTTAGAGTGCAAACAAAGTCTTAATTCGACCTAATTCCTCTACATCAATTAAAAGAAAGATCGACGAGCTCACTTATTGCAACGCTGATGATTGGTGGAAAATAAGAAATAGGCGGGGTGATTTTTCAGAAGACGGACTGGCGAGAGATGCGAGGGAGGTGTTCAAACTCAATGGGAAACGAGAGAAGCCAGTTAGGTGCGGTAGGAGTCAGACGCTAGCCAGAAGGCAGGTCGCAAGAACTTGGTTAAATGTGATCTGTCAGACTCATGTTTTTAAAGTAACATGCTCTTCGGCGGGCTAAGGACTTCTAAACAAGACACTGTTGGATATTCATTACCTTGGTTGCCATGCAGTTGCCGAAAATATCAAAGAATCGCGGCGGCTAGTGAGAATTATAGCGGACATCAAATACCATGTCCGTGGAGAATTAACTCTTCTCGCAAGGGAGATTGTGAACAAACGCCGGCGCTGTGAGTCGACAAACGGGTGCCGCTGGCAATGTATCCGGTCCTGTGAGGGCAGCGACCCCCTGATGCCAGCTGAGGGACTGGAGATGCGACTTTCGGCAACATTGAGGTCTTCCGACCTAGAGACGGTTCCAGACCATCCGCCCCTACTTTCTCTTTCTCTCTCTCTCTCTCTCTCTCTCTCTCTCTCTCTCTCTCTCTCTCCGTGGCGTTGTGGTAAACGCTATAGGTGGCGCTGCTGTGGAGGAGGAAGGAAATGGGTATGTGACAAAGACATTTAAATTAATGTAAAAAAGAAAGAGTATTAAAAAGCATTTTATTGTAAAGTTTAATTAATTTGCACGTTTAAAGTTAGCGCATTGCGATTTTCGACCTAATGAATTCAAAATTAATTAACTGATGTAAATGACCTGTTTGTTGAGTTATCTAAATCTTTTAATTCAACTACCACTACCCAAATTCAGTAAAAGTAGATAAAGCATGTGTGAACGTAATCGGGAACGAATCCACAGACTTGATGAAAACCTTAACTACAATGCCAACAATTTGGCAGAACGAGTGCTCGTCGTATTATAAATAAACTTAATAGTTGCATTTCGTCAGAAGGCTTCCATTTGAGACCATGTGTGTTTTTGGGATTCATAACATGACATAAGTCTCACGTTTGTTTAATGTTTGGACGTCTCATGCGTCGTGTTATGAGCTGCGAGTCCGGGGGGCAGCGAGCTTCCTACGTGCTCAGGGGAATAAACTATTTAAAAATATTATTTATGTGTCCCACTTTGAAATTTGTCAGATATATACTACATTAGTGTATAAATAATATTTTTACAACTAATTTAAGTGTTAATCTAATGTACAAATTTGGTATTTTAAAATTTAAAATATATTTTAAACATTTAAGTAATATGTTTACAAAAATTATTTTTTCATCATATGAAATAACGTCTTTTTAAATGGCATTTATGCGTAATTTAATTTTTCTGAACAAAACGGTACTTTTGCAAATAAACATTAGCGCTCTTGATTTTTCGAAAAAGTGGTAATATTTCAGAAAGAGGTGAAATTAGAAAAAAAGAAAAAAATACGTTTCACTTTTCAACCCTAGACCCCATAAAAAGTTTCAAATCCCTAAACTACAGTGATGTTTTGTGAGTGTCCGATTTGACATGGAATGACTCAAAGGTGTTCTGTACTTTTTCACAAATTGTTGGTAGAGAAACGAGGTAACCCAGTAAAAACGGATCGTCTTTTTTCTTTCTTTCTCCTAATCCTTCTTACCTAAAATCTAACTTGTGATATAAGATATTGATCTGTTAGTCAGAATAAAATTTCTACATGGTTCAATACATACAAAAAGGACAAAAATGTGGTTTGGATACCACACAAAACTAGCGGTGTTACAGAATAGCTTAGATTTTCTCGTATTAGTTAGCTTACTAATTTCTTTGGTCTGGGATAGCTTGTCCGTACTGTTCCATCCTCTTGCCACCCAAAGAACAAGATCTGTACGTATATTGCAGCGAACTTTAGCAAAGAAATTATTCTTGCTACGTGTACTGTAATCGCAATGAACCACTTATAATCACTGATCTTTGTTAGTGAATGAACACATGTGACAGACAATACCTGGGCATTACGTTGCGAAGTCACTTACCTTGCATTTGAAGGTCCATCTTCGAACTTCAAACATACGCTACCTGCAATTTGCTAACTCCAACCTCACACTCACACACGCTTTTTCGCGGTAGAGGTCTTCTTGAAGAAGTCTCTTCACATAATGATGCTTAAGCAAATGACGGCAGATAAGCGTTCATTCCATTAATAAACCACTTTATTTTTCTTAAGTGTTAATACAATAAAACCGGTCAATAAATGCAAGCGAGAATAGTCTATGATCACATTTTAAATAAACACTCTAGTGCTTTCAGTACAAAGTTCTTTTCAATTTTCTAAATACAAAGGTTTTAATTAAAATACTCATAACTGCACTACTTGTATTTTAGCAAACAATTTCAAGAAAAAAGATCAACCACTTTCAGAAACATTTTAAAATGTCAGACATATGTAGGTGGAGTTCACGCAAAGAACACTCTAAAATTAAAGTAACTTAATAATCTCTTAACGAAAGAACTATATCTTACTTCTAACGTGTTTACCAAGTTTCAGTATAAATGCTTTTAATCTGACAGAATTATACGTGCCCAATCTGTCCATCCATCCAACCATCCGCTCGTCCGTCCTTCTGTCCCTCCATCCATCCATTGATCCATACATCCATTCATCCATCAATTCATGAATGCATCCATCCATCCATCCATCCATCTACCCATACATTGGTACATCTATCCATTCTTCCTTCCATCCATTTATCCATCCATTCATCCATAAATGCATCTACCTACTGTTCCAACCATTGATCCACCCATTAATACACACATTCATTCATCCATTCATCCATCTATTCATCCATCCATTCATCCATTTATCTATCCATTTATCCATCCATTCATCCTTCCAGCCGTTCATACACTCACCCGTTCACTCATCGGGACATCGATGCGTACCGTCGTTCCTATTGTAGAGCACAAAATTGCGTGTATCTCTTTTTTTAAACAACCGATATTTAACTACATTTGCAATCGACCTAATATACTGTAATCCTTACGTATGTGCAAGTTACAGCTCCATAGAACAATGGCTACTGACATTATGACTGAAAATTATAGATCGTATTGGTGAGGTAATTCTAATACTTTTCATCTCTCTACTATAGCATGAAAGTTTTATGAATGCTTTTATGCATGTGCGACTTGCTCCTGCTTGTTAATCAATCGCGTATTCTCTGATTTTCGACAGACACATGTAAACTCATTTTGAGAGGTGGGTGGTGAAACAGATATGGAAACGAGCTGTAACACCCAAGCTTGCTAGTTCAAACCCGATCGAAACTATGAATTTTTAAGGGCAAAAAATCCTTCATACGCATTTCTTCGGAGAGACTGTAATGTCGGTAGTTTCATGTAAAAGATGCATGTAAAAGATCCTAAAGCCTAAAAATCCAGAAGCCTGAAGCCTCTGAGATAAATTTAAAATCAACTATTTTGTCGCCTAAGTAATAGCTTTCTAGGCTAGATGGTGAAATGAGCGAAGCAAAATTTGTGTGGTCAGACCAAAGAACGGTCCTGATGGTCCGAGTATCGCTACGTAAAATAAGGCTTTAACTATAGCAAATATCTAACTCCTTGACTGCGGCAGAACGTGTCCAGGCGAACATCTGACCATAAGGACTTAACTAAAACATCAAGAAAAAATATCACGTGGATAAACTCCGTTATAAGAACTTGCCTACAAGGTCGTCGGCAACAAATGAACACTTTTGGCTCCTAGGAAGTTTATAACATTTATTTTGAGTCATTATTTAGTGCGTGTACTTCTTGTTTCTAGTAACAATGTTAATAATTGGACATTTTGTAATAGCGCATTGAGTGATCCAGTGCGTCACTAAAATATTCTCTCTGGTGAATGTTGCAGCGGAGTCTCTATTTGGAAACGAGCGCGGAAGGGAACATGACGAAACGATTTAATCACTGGGTTCCGCCGGGGGCGTGGCGCACGCGACGCGACCGGTGCATGTCCGACAGAGAAAGGTAGCGGCTGCGCCGAGAGAGAGTGGCAGGAATATTATCCTTCTCTTTGCCACAAACGCTTTCTTCAGTTTCCATCCCCCACAGACCGTGCGGACGGAGTCATCCAGCTCCGCCGATCCCATAGCTCTCCCACCGTAAGCAAAAGTACTAATGATTTTATTGAGCGTCTTTGTACTTGAACGAATGCCCGCAAACAATGGGGGGCGACGGATGAATTCACCTCTGGCTTTGGTGGAGAGTCAACAGTCAACCGACCCTGGATTGGAAAAGGTCAACCGACCTTGAGTTTTTCGGTATCACGGTAGTGCCAAGTTGGTTGCAGTGAGCAGACGGAACCAAACCCCGTGTCACGCAGGCGCGGTCTCAGGTGGTGCTCAGTTGCATCCGCGTGGCCTCAGCCTGCAACGCACACGTAGATACCCAAGCAGGAAATTAAAATTACCCGTTCGGTATACCTGATTTCCGGTGATACTCACGTCAAACGTGATGTGTGTGCATTGACGAGTTATGTTGGGGGTTCCAAGTCTGTTTCAGACACCCGGTGGTCCCCACCCCATGGCTCTTGGCTTTGTCGTGGCAGTGCCCAATTCTAAGGGTGCAGAGTTTTTGGCAGAAGGCTCAAATTGGACTCCGGTACCGGCCTGCCAATCTGATAGTCCCGAATTATCGTGATAGCTCTCCCCATATTTAATTGGGAACCTAACATAACTAAGCATTAGTGCTATTATAAGAGGGTGCGAATAAGCCTATAAGACAGGTGCTTCGTGGCTGACACTAACGAAATTGCATTCTATTTCACTTACTCTGCCACCGCACTGAGAGCGCCCTCTTCCTGTGCTACTCGCGAAATGACGGCAGCGAATGGAAAATGCTGTAAGTGTACTCAGACGGCTCCCCGTTCTTGAACACAGAAGGGGGACGCGTTTATAATATGGCTTAGAATGCGTGTTTAAATAGATTTATTACATTGCAGCAAGTTGAGGAGGCTAAAATGTATAAACTAATTTTATTTCACTAAAGTAATTATTGCAATAGAGTCGATACCGATTGCTGCGAATTTTTTGGGGACTAACCTTTTTTCTTCAGTATATACGAGACAAACTTCATCCGATAATTCGAAAGTAACTATATTTTCCTCGATGATTGATTTTGTTATTATGAACGTTCAGTCATCACTTTGTAGCCCTTACGTCGTAAGTAGAAAAAGTATTGGAATCGTGCGCCGGAAAACTGCAAAGTTTCGACACAAGAACTCTTATTGCCTGGCCCTGGTAACGGAAATGGATAAATCCTGTTTCTATATATATAGTACGCTCCTTCCTGTAACATGTTGCGTCAATCAGAATCCATGTTTTATTCGTTTTTGTGATATCCAAAAATCCATTGATGGCAAACGTCTTTCTATCTGAGCGTCTTAATGTCTGTCCGGTTGTACGCCGCAGTAGTACCGACCGCAGCAGTACGACAAGCAGCTCGAGATGGCAGCCAAGATGGCAGTCGCTTCCTGGAGCTGCTGCAGCCCGAGCCCTCGTGGCGAAGAGGGCATCTGTTCGCGCTGCATCTGCGCTGGATGGCCTTAAAGGTCTCAACAAAACCTGTTTTCTCTTCCCCCAGGAAGCAGCGAGAGATGGCAGAGAATAGAGACCGCCTCCTGGAGCTGCTGCAGCCCGAGCCGTCGTGGCGAAGAGGGCATCTGTTCGCGCAGTACCTGCGCTGGATGGCCTTCATGGGCGCACACTCGGGGCCAAGGCCGCGCCGTGTCTCCTCTATGCAGTGGGCGATGCGAGCTCTCATAGGCTTTCTTCATGCGTTAACGATCTATTTTTTGCTGGGAGAATGGTTGGAGTTGTTTCTTAACAGCAAAGACATCAATGATTACATCTCCAAGGCGGGTGTATGCCTCACGTCTACTTGCGCTGCGTTCAACAATTTTCACGCAGTCTTCAACGCCTATCGACTGAGAAACATCATAGACGCTCTTGACTCTTATGTAATGGCTATAGAGAAACCTTATATTGATTCTTCTTCCACACTGTCGCCTGTAATAGTTTATATGAAGAAGATGGATAACATCATCTACTGGTGCGTTCATTAACCAACTTTAATTTTCAGTTTCTTATTACGCTACTTTATTTTCATGCTACCGCTTAGGCAGTAGAGAGAAAGTAATGTAATGCTGCGCGTAAAACGACGAATATTCGGCAGAATAACTCTTATTACAGGGCCATGGTAAGAAAAAATGGATGAATATAGTTGCTAAATTTAGAAACAAAGTCCTCTTACACGTGGTGTAGACAGAATCCGTTTTGCGGGTCCTTGATACCGAACAGTCGATTCACGACAAAACGTCTGTTCATTTGTCTGTTCATCTGTGAACGACGATACTGGCTAAACCGATCAACTGATTTTCACCAACATTGGTATTCCCTAATCAATCTTGCTAATGCTTGAATTTTAAATAAATAAATAGTATTAAATAACTGTTACTAAAGGCGAGAAAGTACGTGCTGTTTTAGCATAACTAGTTTTATCATTTATTGTTGCGATAATTCATAAATAGTGGGTTCGGAGATTAGAAAATAAGCATTATAAAAACATGGTTTGCAGTCTAGCAATTAAAAATAATAGTGAAACCTTTATATTAAAAAGTGTATTTTGCCACGATTTATTAAAAAAGATGATTTAATATTAACCAGAGTTTCGAGACAACGAAACGAGACAACGAGCCAACGAATCGATGTCGAAATGCATTTGTATCTGCAGGTACGTGGTTGCCGCAATGATGAATGTGGGCGTGCCTACCATTGGCTCAATGGTCACTTTGAGGCCACCTGTTCGCTTCTGGCATCCTATTGACGTCTACTCAGGTAATTGAGTCCGAACCAATTATATTATTCCTATGTCCTTATATTAGTTGCGTAGCTGTACTAGTTCAGTTCTGAAAATAATGATTTTTACTATCTTTTATTCTGGAGAAAGCAATGAATGCGTTAGTAACTGACGCAATGTATATGTTGAAATTGGTGTTCAAACCACGTCATTGTATTTCTATTACTTTCTTGTATACGTACGTATATGCGGAGTAATATAAGTAGTGTAGAGAAATATAATAAAAAGTTATATAATGCTGTGGGAAATTAATTTCGAACTTTCCACGGAAATAAATGTTTTGGGGTTCCCTGATACTGAAAAATTTTATTTTTTCAAAACGTCTGTCTGCTCGTCTGTAAACAAGATGAGCTTCTAAACTATTACGAGGGTACTTTCCAAAATGCATATTACCCGCTCGAACTTGCTCGACGTGAAGTGAGTTTGAAAAACATTCTTTACATTTTGAGGATATTTTGTATCAATCCCCTCCGACATTTTCAAAATTTTCACAAAATGGATTCAATTTATTGGTCTAAATTGCTTAAGAGAATAGAGTGAAATATGTTTATTATGTTGCATAGGTTGGATATTCACTGTTGACTCTAAATTTTTCAAATTTACAAAAGAATGAATGTTTTCGGTGTTTTCTTTCTTTAACTTCAATATTAACGATACCGATTTTTATTGAAATGAAATTCCAACATTGCAATTAGTTCTTTAATGTCATGTATCCTTTTTGAAAATTTTAGGAGTTTAAAATAATTTTGAATAAAATATGGTCTGTGTTAAAAAATATTAAAAACAAGATTTCTGCCAAAACGGCTACAAATTGTTTCTTGAATTTTTTTGAATATAGTGATATATTCTCCGTGTAAGATGACATAAACTGATTTTGCTCTACTATTTTGTTTTCCAAAAAATATACAAATGTAATATTTTTTATATCAATCCCACCTTCTTAATATTTACATTACCGGCAATTTGTATACTTCATTACATTTTATGAATATATGTGCTTCTAATGATGCCTTATAACATTTGTAAAAAGCTCCAAAGTTTTCTGTAAAAATGAACTCGAAATTTCGCATTTTGAAAAACGCTTTTTTCATAAACCATTTTATCGATAACGACACCATTTTATTTCTTTAAACATTTCGTACGAATTTGGCTAAATGCTCTGAATAGTCTGATATTAATGCCACTTTGATGTATTCTTTGTCACTTTTTTAAAATAACAAAAGTGTGTTTTTAAATACTTATCTGGTCGTTAATATTTTACATTACTGGCTACATTTGTACATTACTAGCGGAACCCGACAGACGTTGTCCTGCCCTCCATTTCCCTGTTCCTTCTTCCCTCTCCCTTTCTCTCTCCGTCTCTCTCCCTTCGTCTCCCTCTATCTCTCTCTCCGCGTCTCTTTCTCTCCGCCTGACTGTCTGACTCTGTCTGATTGTCCCACTCTCTGGGCCTGCCCGTTTCTGTCTTTGTATCTCTGTATCAGACCTTCTCTGTCACTTTCTCTGTGTCTCTGTCCTTTGTCTCCCTTTGTCTCTGTCTGTGTCACTCTATCTCTGTCTCTCACTCTCACTTACTTAAGGACGCCACCTCCCTAACCTTCTCGGCCTCGTCTTTTTGCGGAGCTCAGTTTGATAGGAAATTGAATGAAATTAATCGCAAATTTTGAGCTGCACTGCCATCTTGTAGAGCTGGAGCTGCACGAACAGCGCGACGAACAGCTTATAAACATTCGGGGTGAAAAATCACATAGACGTGCCAACTTTCAAGAAGATCAGTCAAACGGTGTGGGAGTTCACTGTTCTGGTATATATTGTGACGTACCTGGGAAGCGGTACTTTCACGACAAATAAATTATGCAAGGGACAGGTACA